CCTGTGAGGACGTCAGTCAGGAGAAGCAGGAAGTCATACTGGGCCTCAGATCTACTATGGAACCTTTTCTGTTTTAAGTGGTCTGTATGTCCCTGTGTGGGTCTGTATGCGTGGATGTTTGGGGATTTAAAACAAGGAAGCAAGGGCAAGTACAGATTGAAAACCAGTGAATACAATCTACAACAACAGCAGCAGCCATGGAATCAAAGGAAACCAATGATTTGTACTCACAAATTATCTTGTTTTTAGTCATGTTTACTACAAACTTAGTGGCCTAAAACAATGTGAATTCATTATCTTACAGTATGGAGATCAGAAGCCTGCCCTGGGTCAGGCAGGGCTGTGTTCCTTCTGGAGACTGTAGGGGGAATCTTGTTTCTTACCTTTCCCAGTTTCTAGAAGCCACTTGCCTGCCTTTGTACATAGCCACTTCTTCTATCTTCAAAGCCATCATCAGAAAATCTTCAGATCTCTCTCTGTCTCTGTCTCTCTGTCTCTCTGTCTCTCTGTCTCTCTCTCTCTCACACACACACGCGCGCGCACACACACACACACACACACACACACCCCTCTGCTTCCATCACCATATCTCCTTCTCTAACTCTGACCCTCCTGTCCCCTCTTCACAATATAAGGATCCTTGTGATTACATTGGACCTACCCAAATAACCCAGGATAATCTCCCATTTCAAGACCCTTAATTTAGTCATATCTGTGAAGCCTCTTTTGCCATGTAAGGTAACATAGTCCCAGGTTTGGGGGATTAAGATGTCAACATCTTGGGAGGGGAGCATGATTCAGCCTACTAAGCCTAGTACCCCACCATGAGATAATTTTCATTTCTTAGCTTCTCCAATTACTATTTTCCTGAAATGGATTTGGACCTCAAATAGTTAAATGTTACTATATTTGCAGTCTCAAAAAGCCCAGACGATCATCTATTGGGCACCTTTTCTTTTGACTTCTATGTTGTTTGCGCAACCTGAAATGAGGTCGGTTGACCAGCAATCTGCTCTATGCTCCCTGGGTTTTGCACAAATTTCTTGGGCTCAAGCTTTACACAAATTGACTTAACCTTGCCCCAGAAAGCTCAGGCCACGTAGTCTGAGAATAATTTTGCTATGCTTTTTTTCTTAATACTGCAAATATTTATTTGAAGGGAAAGAAAGTCTAATCCTTTATCTCTAAGGGAAAGAAAGGTAATTCAGCTATACAACCACCGTTTGATCTCCTCCTCTTTCTTGTATCTCTATCCACACACATAATTGTGAAAGAACATTTGAATTATAAACCTAAAATACCAACTGGTTCTAACTGCCAGCTTATTTTTCACAAATGAACTGTTCTTCTAATATATAACACCTTATATCTGATAACTATTTGACCATTTTCAATACATTGACCATTTCCAATATCCGTGAGCTCCAAGATTGTTTGATTCTCCCAACAATCCTGCGGGACAGGCAGAACGGAGACTGTTTTCAGTATTTCAAAAATGAAGAGGCTACAGTTAGCTGGGTAGATAGAGCCAGGATTAAACAGGTTTCCTGACTCCCAGACCAGTTAGGTCCCTACCCCTACCACCAATGTGGAAACCAGATTAAAAGATTCAGCAATGAAGTTTTGTACATCACAGCTCATCCATTTATTTAACATTTTATACCTTCCTGAACCAGCTTTTTCTTAATGTGAAGTGATATTAAATAGTTACTCCCACTCCCCACCCCCCTCCAAAATATCCTCCTTGTATCTCACATGGCTGGGCCGGAGGGAGTTTTCAGAGTCCATTGAAAGCACTCTTGTGTCTACCTTGAACACTTGATCCCAATCATTCTGGACAGATAAGTCCTTATAAGTAAGTCCTGCCCTTGAAGCTCCAGGTTAAGAGGTAACATGACTCCCATGTCACCCCTGAGTTCCATACCTCCCTCAGGGCCACTCTGTTCATCATGTAGCATCTCTCCTTCCAGCTTTGGTCCACGCCATACATTCCCCTAGTCTTCTCTGACTCACTCTTTGTCTCTACCAGCATAAAAAGATCTCCACAGGCTGAAGAAGGAAAATTCCCAAGTCATGTCTCAAGAGCCTTTCTCTAGGCCAGACAATTTCCATCTTCGCAGGGAGGGCTCCTTACGGAATCCCTCACCCATAAGAAGAAAGGGTGTTGGGCGTCGTGTGTGTCAGGTGAGGAGGAGACACTGCTCCGTGCTCTTTAATAGTTTCCAAGGCCCATGACTTTTGGAGAATCAAATGCGAGCCTTATAAAAACACTTACCTCAGTGCCGGCGACGTAGGGAAATCTACATAAATATGAGGTAACTTAAACAAACAAACAAACAAACAAAAACAAAAACCTCCCTTTTTATATAGATGAAGAAACCAAGCCCCAAAGGTGGGAGATGCTTTGCCCAAGGTTTCACGACCACTCGGTGACAGAGTCAGACAGAGAGCCTCAGTTCCCCAACGGTCCCAACACTGCTCTTTCAACTACTGGATCTGATGACCTCAAAGCCACTCACTAGACGGCTATTCTACAGTTCCTTGTAGTACCTGTTCTTAAATCCTATTTTGATTATTCTAGTGCTAATTTCCTGATCTGTTGAATCAGGTCAAGTTACTGTCCTTTATTCTATTCTGAGCAGAATCTGAACTTGCCATGTTCAGAGCCATAGAGATGGAAAAGGCAATGAGAAACTTTGTCAGCTTCTAGCATCCAACCAGAAACTTCACACACTCAGGAAGGGAAGAGTCACCTTTTATTTTCTAAATGACTTTCTCTCTCTCTCTCTCTCTCTCTCTCTCTTATTTTCTAAATGACTTTCTCTCTCTCTCTCTCTCTCTCTCTTGCTCGCTCTCTCTCTTGCTCGCTCTCTCTTTCTCTCTCTCTCTCTCTCGCTCTCTCTCGCTCTCTCTCGCTCTCTGTTTCTCTGTTGTACTCCACCAAAGCTACCCATCTCTTTTATGGCCATCAGAACAAACTAGAACTTTCTCCTGCTGATAAGTAGACCAAGATATTAAATTTCCCTGTTTAAATCAAACTGTTTTATCGAAATGTTGAATAGGACTAAATTAAACAAGTCAAATTGCTATGAAGAACATTAGAAGAAGTAAATAAATCACTGAATTGAAACAAGAGATAGCATGCAAGCTCCAAATAAAGAGTTCCAAGATTATTTCCCTCTAAAATATAGAGTCACAAAATCTCAGAATTGGAAAGGATCTTGAAGATCATTTGTTCAGTACTCATCCTTTTCTAGAATCTCATCACCTCCACAAATCTTCAGGAAAGCTTGGCAAAAATTAATCTGATGAATTTTATGTCCTTTACTGAAAGTAGATTTAGAGAGAAGCTAAGGTTGCAGCTCGATAATTCACATCTCTCTCTCTGAATCCTATGAAAGCTCCAACCATGAGCTTAATTCCAAATCCCTCTTATTTCTTCATGTGACACAAGATCTTCCAGAAATAGCTTCAATGAAACAGCACAATTGCACCTAGAAAAAATGTTCTTCACAATCATAACAGATCCTGGGATCTTTCAGGCAAATTGCCATAACTAACTCACTCCACTCTTCACAAGCCAGGCCCAGCTCATGTCCAGAGCACCTGGGGCCAGTCACCAACATTCTGCTGAGGCCCCTCATGGCCTCAGCCCATTTTTTTTGAGGAGACAATTCTCATAACTGCTTTGGAAAGATGTTTTTCACATAACAACACTATTTGAGAGGGTTTCAATTTCAAAATAGGTGTTTTTTTATTTAAAACACACACACACACACACGCACGCACACGCACACGCACACGCACCTAATAGCAACCTAGGCAGCTTAGAAAAAGACAGCTTCTATGTAAAGATTCTCATTAGACGGAAATTCAGCCTAATAGAACTTTCAGTAAGTGAAACAGTGAGCCAAATTCAGTCTGCCTTTAGCAACCCCCGCTCTGCCTCTGCATGCTTACCTCCTTTTCATTTCAGGTCCTCATCAGTTGTATGTTATTTTCTTCTCTACCTGATCCCATCAAAACCTACTCTCAGGAAAGAAACTGAGAGTCAAGAAAATGATCATCAAACCTCAGTGCTGCCTGTTCTGGGGGTATTTTCATTGTAACAGGAGACAAAGGAATAGACAGTAAGGCACAAGTCCAGCCACTGGGCAGTGAGACTTTTTTTTATTCCTTCCTTTATTCGCTCAGTGCTGCTGTGACCCAGGCATTGCCTCAGACACTGGGGAGACAGCAGTGACAGAACAGACCC